CCCTGCCCCAGCCTGGTTTCTCTTTCCAGGTTTGCAGCTGCAATCGCGGGCTATAATGAAAAAGGAAGGGGTGAAATGACGGGGAGACAGAACCTCAAAGTCACACACAGAAGCACTCTGCATTCCTGTGCTGGGTCTCCATCCTGGGTCCGCAGTCCCAGAGCCAGAGCCACACCCACACCACTCTCACACACAGAGTCCCACACTCACAGCAGAACGTTCATAGATTGCAAAGTACATACTTCCACACGCGATGGCACAAATGCCACCCTCCCCACCGGTGGTAAACTCTCCGAGGGGCCCACCACCCCACTCATCCCTCACTCAGACATGCGGTCACACACGCACACACACATGCACACAGTCCCTCACACGCACACACTCTGGCTGTGCTTTTGTGTTTTGTCAGAATTAATGAGAAAAGTTCCCGTGCCCTGCGGGTAATTAGTGTCCTTGGAGTTAAATAAGCTAATGGCGGGCACCTCTGGCCCAAGCAATTATGTTTGTGTATTGAATAATTGATTCAAAGGGGGGAAGGGCCGCTAATCAGATCTGAGCATAATGAATTGATTTAATTAACAGGGGAATCTGAGGGGCTCTGGGAAATGCAAGCTGCACTCTGCTGAGAGCGGGCGCGGCAGATTGCAAGAGGGAACCCGCCTGCGCGGCTGTGGAGGCTGCTCCGGCCTGGGCTCCGGCCCTAGCTCGGTTCAGGCTCCCGCTCACCTCGGGCCGGGTCCCAGCAGCTCAGCCCACAGGGCTGCAGCCCCGCCCGGCGCCCGCCCCGCAGAGCGCCGCGCCTTCTCTCGCTCCTCCCGCGCGCCCTGCCCACGGCGCTGCGCTCGGGGCGCCGCTCCGTCCGCCCCCGTCGGCGACCGCGGGGCGCGGGGCGCGGGGCCCACGCGCGACCGCGGAAAGCAGTGCAGGCGCCCGGTTGGCGACGGTCCGAGCCGCGAGTCTCTCTGCGTCCTCCTCCCGCGCCCGGCTGGAGCCGCCTGGGGACTATGGTGTTGGACCAGGAGGACGGTAGGTGCCCGGGGACACTTGGGAGCAGCGGGAGCTCTGTCGAGGCCATCTCGACCCGAGTGGCAGAGGCCCAGACACCGGTCCCGACTTGGAGCCGGTTGTCGTTTTCCGGAAGCTGGTGTGTGTGTGTGTGTGTGTGTGTGTGTGTGTGTGTGTGTGTGTGTGTAAGGTGCCAGGCTCTGCGTCCCGCGATGAGGAGTCGCCCCCTCCCTGCCCTGCATCCCAGAGCCTGTGAGGAGAGCATGCTCCAGCAGGGAACTTTCTCGCTCCTGCCCCCCTCCGGAGCGCACAGAGACCCAAGAGAAGTAAGCTTCCCAGTAGTACCCATCGCCAGCCAGTTTCGGGCCTCTCTGAGTATTTTCATATTTTTCCACACCTCGGTGTGGAAGGGATCCCTCAGGGGATACTCAGAGAACTTGGCTGGTGAAGGTGCATTTTAACCAGCATGGCCCTTGGGTCTCCCGTCTCTCGCCTAGGGTCCAGGACTTCAGGGCCTACTTGATAAGTGATGCTGTCTCCCTGCAGGACTAGGAGACAGCATGCCATCACTTCACAGAGCTACTGTAGTGAGTGTGGGGTGGACAGGCCAAGAGAAGTTTGGGATTCCCGGGGTCTCTTTCTGTTGCCAGATCCCTGGTGATCAGTTTGATTAGCAATCTCCTTTTTTTTTTTTTTTTTTTGCCGCGTGGGTTGGGCTGGGAGACTCGGGACAGTTGGTAAGGTCTTGATCTGCAGAGCCTGGACTGGTCAAAAACTCTGTAACCGAGGATCATACACCTTTTATTAAAGAACCCTCACCCCTTAAACTGCTGTAAACTTGAGGCCTCACAAAATCTAAGTCTACCCATGGATCTAACTAAAACCCCTTCCATCGTGTGTATCTCGTCGTCTCTGCATCATCCTCAGGGCTGAGGACAGACACACAGGCATGCCTGGAGTATGACACAGCCGGACAGGAGGCTCAGAAATTTAGGGTTGGGAGCGGCTGATTAGCAGGAAGAGGGTCTGTCTGTCTGTCTGGCCTTCCTTTGGTCTCACTAGTTACTTGTCTTATCCTGCAATCTCCCTCATGGTGATCAATCATCCTGGCTTGTCCAGAGTCTTGTAGCACAGGGAACCCCTCAGTCTTAGGGCAGCCCTGGGTCCTCCTAAACCTCTAGCTGACTAGGGCCTCTTGTATGGGGGCTGGGGGTGGCTTTCATTTAGGGACAGGGTAGATTTGTCCTGATTTGGAATAGGCATGTCTAAAGCCTAAGTGTTTGTGAATGCAGTTTCTGGAAAGGCCTCTCTAGAATCCCAAAGAGGGAGTCTGCCGACTGTGCACTTCTCCAAGATAAGTTGGTTGTGAATTCCTGTGCATTGGCTGCTTCTGTGTCTGCAGGGGAAAGGCAGGGGACCCAGACTCGGCTAACAGGCATCCTGATGGCACTGCAAATAATGGTTTACTCTGTCCTGTAACTGTTATGTGCACAGGGAAAGGGTCCTTGTCACCCTAAATACCTCTCCAGTCGCCACTTGCGAGGCCAGTGTGTAACCCCAACCTGGAGATAACTTCACTGTACTGAGAGCAGGGCCCTCAAGCTCAGGCATGTTGGCTATCCTCTGAAGAGTTCTGGATTATCTGGTCTGCCTGGGCCCTTAGGCACCAAGAGGAATTGCCCCCCACCCCCAGTGCAGAAACCCTTTTCTCTGGATGTTTCTGCCAGGCACAGGGATGAACTGCTGGGACCTGTTTGGAAATATGTCAGGCAGCTAGCAACCACCCCCATTCTCTTCCAGGCATCCTTGGGGACTGAAAAAAATGGGTGTCCCCCCGCGGTCCTCAGAGGCATTTCTGGAAGCACTCTCGGTGTGCTGAAGTGAAAGTGATGGCTCACCACCTGTGGAATGCGTGGAGTGAAAACACTCGCCCAGCCCCAGGGCATCTTAGGGTTCCACTCAACATTGTTGGAATGCCCCTGGACCTGGAAGCTGTTGGAGAGGGGGAGGGCAGGAGGCTGAGACCCACCTATGAGCCTTAGGCCACCCTACAAGTGAAGTCACATCTGGCTTCTTCCTAGGTGTGAGCTTCAAGATTCTCTAAATCCCCAAAGACTTGCTAGGCAGCTCTGCCACTTAGTTCTGGGGTTCTCGCTTCAGATTGGGATGTCATGCTCATAGCTAGGGTATAAAGGAAGCCACCCGTGAGGACGAACCATCTTCACATACAGCACCAATCCCCTGCTGATGTGCCCGCCCTACCTGCTTCTGTAGCTCACTGCTTTATGCCTCGGACTTAGGAAGCAGGGGTCCTGACTCCTCAGAGGGATGTCGGCCATGTGGTTCTCAGTTGGGTACCTTGGAAGCTTGGGTTAGTTGAGGTTCAGACAAGAGAGTGGGAATGTGGTTCCAGCTAATTGAGTCCTGATTTGTGGGTCAGGGTCAGACCCCCAAAGCAAGAAGTGGGCCTCTGGAGACCAGGAGGAAGACCGTATGTCTCCAGATAGCGCAGAGATTTCTTCTTCACGATGCTGTCCCTGCTGGACCCTGTACTTGCTACATTGATTGGCCTCAGTTCAGAGAAGGGTGGGGGCTGCACCAGATGGGTGGCAGGGGCAGCAACAATGAAGCTCCCCCCCTCACACACACACCTCGAGGGCACAGCTCTGGCTGCAGTGGCAGGGGAGAGATCAAGCTTCAGTCCTGAGGGACAGCGAGTCTGAACAAAATGATATATTTAACATCAAATATACTCAAGGACTATTAGGATTAAGTATTCAAGATGAAGGGGAACGCGAAACCCTCTGAGCTGCGGATGAGGCTTCTCATTAGAAACAGCTGCACTTCAGTTTCCTCAGAGCTTGACTTCCCTGCCTCGGAGTAAGGATGGGCTGCAGCTCCCCCATGCTTCTGTAAAGTAGGGGGGCCTCCCAGGATGGGAGGGGCAAGACTCAGCCTTCAGGCCTCTCTTGTATGAGACAGTGCCCCACCTCACATTATCCGGAGCACTAGTCTGCCTTTTCATGGCCTCTTTAGAGACAGAACAGAGGTGACTAGTTCATAAACAGGGAAACTGAGGCAAAAAGAGAAGTGACTTGCTAGCTCTGTCATTTAGTAATTGGTAACAAATGACTAGGTTCCCATCTGATGTCCCCCTCCCCCCCAGGAGACTGCCAGAGTGGAAGTCCTCTGCAACTGCCAGGACCAAGTTCTGAACACATCTCTCTGGAGCCCTTCTTGAATGAAGAAAAACCATTTTCACTCCATTTTGGAGCTCTATAATATCTGGGTGGGGGGACCACTTGGGGTTTTAAAAGTTTATGGGAGCCTGGACCAAGTTTTTCCAGGAAGCATGCTGGGAAAAGCACGGGCCTGTCTTCCTTCCTGCTGTGTGAGTGGCAGAGCAAGAATTAGCTCCACAACAGAATCCTGGTTTTCTTCTCTGCTGTATCCCTAGTGCCTTAGAGTAGTGTGTGGCACATAGTAAGTGCTCAGTAAATATTTGCAGAAGGAAAAACGCCTTCAGACACCTATGCTTGCTCAGAGGGAAGCTGAAACAGGACTTGCTTTCTGCACAGAATCAGGACACTGATGGGTGGTAGGGACACGGTAGCAGAAGCCTCTGTCCCTGTAGGACTCACAGTAGGAGGTTTTGTGCCCTGCAGAGGAGTTAACTTTGCCAAACAACAACAGAATCAACTAGGAACTCTAGGCAGAGCTGGTAGAAAAGAGTCGTGAGGGAAATAGCGCTCCTGTGAGGAAGCAGAAACCAGATTTGAAGGGGCTAGGACCCGCAAGGGCCCACCAGACTGACATTGGAGACCAGGAAGAAACCTTGGGACTCCAGAGTAGTCATTCGCCTAGCTGGAGCTTAGCGACCTCCAGGTGGCGCTGCAGAGCCGGGCATCCGCGCGTCTCCACTCCCCATTAACCCGGCAGGGAGGGGGTCCTCGGGAAATGTGTGCATTTATTCAGTAGCAGGAGTGCAAACCTCATACATTGAGGGAGAAAGGCAGCGGGAGTCGGCCGCCGAGATTCCCCCATCTCTTTGAATATAATTTCAGATTGAGATTCAGATTAAATCCGAGGGGAAAACACTTTATGAGGCTGAAAGCTGTGTCGTTGCCAGAGCCAGGGTTATGAGCTATCAAATGCAATTACATTAAGACAGATTATACTGGGCAAATTGAGCCATTTAGAAGGTGAGAATCAAAGAAACGGCTCTGATCCTCTCTTCCCCCTTCTCTCTCCCTCTCTCTCTAAATTGCAGTTCGTAGTTCCTTGCAATTCTGAGGCACAAAAGTAGGTGAGACTGCTTTTGTATCTGCGAAGTGCTTCACTCCTGAATGTAATTCTAGCTGAGTGCAATCTAGGTTAAGAGCCGGACAAGCGGGTAATTAGAGCCCGCTCGCTGCCGGAGGACCGGCCTCCCAGCCGAAGCGCGCCCGGAGTCGGCGCCCTTTTCCCGGCTGAGCCGAACAGCGGCTGGACTCGGAGCGCCCGAGATGATGGTGCTGGACAAGGAGGACGGTAGGTGGCGGGCAGGGATCCCGATGCCCCCAACGCCCTGGTCACGGTGCGCGGGATGCCACGCACCAAGACCCAGGCACACAGACGCGGGGCCACGCCGGGTTGTGGAGCCAGCCGGCAGCCCGGGGCGGGAAGACAGACCCGGGTGGGGTGGGTGAGCTCCTGGCCTAGCACCCCCAGGTCCCGCGGTCCCCGGGCTGGCGGGCGGGGCGAGGCGATGCGCCGAGGGGCGTCGTGAGGCTTGGGCTGCCCTCTGGTCTCCGCGCCCTGGCGCTTGGCGCTGAGCGTTCGGTCTCTGCGGCTGTTCCTCGCTCACCGCAGCCATCACCCCCGCGCCGGCCGCGTAACTCGAGAGGCGCTGAGCGCCCAGCAAATCAGCAGCTTCGGGGAGAATCGGACTAGAGAGCTTGGGGGCGAGAGGGAGCGCGGACGACCGCGCAAAGCCGGGATGCCTGGCAGAAAGGGGAAGGCCAGCTGGGCCCTCAGGGGGACAGCTGCCCACGGGCATGACTTGGTGCGAGGGACGTCTCCTGTGCTGGCCACTATCTCACCTCATGTCTCCTTGAATGTGAAGGCGGGAATTTGATCCAGAGGAAGAATCGTCCCGCCACGGGCCAGTAGCACTCCAGAGGGAGTGGTTTGAGGGTGGCCCGGATGTATGGTCAAGAGCCTGTGGTTTGAGGGTGGCCCGGATGTATGGTCAAGAGCCTGGGTGCATTCAGAAGGGTTTGGGAGCTGGGAGGGTCACATGGCTATAGTACGCCACTAGCAGGTGGTCTCATAGACCCCTGACGTCTTTTTAGCTGGGAGAGTGCCTTGCAGTAAGTGGCCTCAAAGGTTGGGGAATCCCAGCTGCTTTGGAGAGAAAACTCAGCACGTGCCCTGTGACCTAAGACAGGCACCAAGGTCCAGGGAGTGGCTGTCTCAGGCCCTTGGGCCCTGTAGGTAAGGCTTGTATGTTCTGTAGGTGCTATAGGGAGAGTTGGGCAAGACTGTTGGCAAGACCACTGCTGCTGACATTTGGGTGGAGACTGGAAAGGCTGGGAGGAATGGGACATCCCCAGGAATCCTCCACTGGGTCTGTGCCTTCTGACCATTGAGACATTGTTGTCATGGCTACTGCTGAACCCGGGAAGTTAAGTGACTTGTTCAAGGTCATACCGGATGTTCACTTGGCTGCTGTTTCATCCAGCTATCCCAGACTAACTATACCGTTTGAGGTATCAGCAGCAAAGGGCTTTTGAGATGTCTGACCTGGGTGGGTGTATGCAGGGAAGACATGGGACCATAACTCCCCAAAACTGGCTCTTGGCGTGATTGAAGGAAGAGGTAAAAGAGGGGATGTAGATGGTTCTGGGCTGGCTGGAGGGAAGCATCATCTTCAGCAGATTCTCCTCCATTCACAGACGCACCCCTGGGGCTCCAGAGGGCCATCAGCACTGGGCTGGAGCTGTTCTAGATAGATTGCAAAGGAGAAGGAGAGGCCTGGGGACAGGCCAGACGGGGAAAGAAGAGCTATTGGTTTGGCTGGTTTCATCAGTATTTCCTTATCCGGTGTTACTTCAGATCGGTCATGCCCAGCTCCAGAGTTTTCTTTTTTAAAAAGAGTGCAGAGGGCCCTTCTCTGGTGTCTACAGGGACTGTCACTATGAGAGGCGTATGGAAATCAAGATGTATCTTTGACCACAGTTATTCCATATTCTTGGCTCCCCAGGCCTAAGCCAAGAACCCAAAAGACCTGAGTTTTTTGTATGTAGGAGTCCTCCGTCCAGAAAGATTGGCAAATGGTGTTTCCACCTCTACCAAGGATCTGTGCCCTAGAGGGGGTTGGGCTCTGGGGATGTCTGCAGACCACCGAACTGCTATGTAATTGGGTATCCTGGGCATGTAATTCCTTTCATCCCCACCAGAACTTCAGAGAGGAGCTCAGGATATCCCTTCATCCCTGACCTGTGCAGTCCAACAATATGGTGGCCTTCACCGTTGGCACTACTGGTCTTTGAGATCCATGACAACATAAGGAAATCAAATGACTGTGGTCCTGGAGGCGGTCTTTTCACTGGGAACTGAAGAAGAGCTATGTATAAACGTACCTGCCTCTCTGTCCTACTACCTAACTTCATATACACTTCCGCCTCCCCAGAATGTGACCACCTGGACTGTGCGGCAGATGTGGTACTCTAGGCCCGAGGGGTGTGTTCCACAGTGCTGCACCCAGCACCCATTGTCTGGCAGCAGCAGAACCTCAGGGCTCCTATTAGTCTCCCCCAACACCTTTTTTGTACCCAACAGCATCTTGTTGAGATAGTCTGGGCTCCTCTGGTTGAAGTCGGGTCTGCCAGCTGCAGAGGACCAAAGCCCTCTCTCTGCTGGGCTGCAGGGCTTTCATGTTGCACTTCTGAAAAGATAATAAAATATCAATCGTTTTGCCCTAGCAACGGGTTTAAGAGACTTTCTGAAGTATTGAATCTTCAGAAAAAAATTTTTTTTTGCTTTTAAGCACAGTGCATTATTAATAAAGTAATCCATTAGGTCGAGCAGTGAAGGGTCACCACAGAGACAGAAAGATCTGTTTGCAAATGGTTAAACTTTGGGTTTTAAGATTAATTGCTTTCATTTGGACGCTTGCTCTTGGCCTAGCCATCTCCACTTTACTGGAACTTAGGGTCTGGGCTTTCTAAATGCTGCCGGTTCTCCCTGTCAGCGAAAGCCAGGCAAGCTCCAACTCTCCTGGAAAAGCAGCCCCTTCCCTGGCACCTGCAGCTTGGGCTGTCACCAGGCTATGGACTTTGAGTGTGGGCGGGGGAAACTGAAGTCTCAAGGGAGCAAAGAAAACTCCTGCCCTGAACCCTGCAAATCAAATTTGACCTTCACTGATGGAGAAAAGGCCCCCAAGTGGGGACACACTGAACAGTAAGAGCTTGAGCTGTAGGGGAGCCTGGGCAGGAGAGGATGCTGAGGGCACCCAGCTGGGAGTGCAGGCATGCTCCCAGATGCATGCTGGAACAGGGCTGGTCTGGGTCTAAACTACCTCTGTAAAGCCCAGCGGGATGGCTTGGGTGACCACAGGAAGCAGCAAGCACATTGTGGAACTAAACACCAGACATGACTCCCAGAGCATTTTTAATAAGTAAAAAATGCTTAAGGAGGAGTGGGGCTGGGTTGAAGAAGACCAGACAGCAGCCGGGTCTTCAATTGTTAATGACTGCTAGGAACACAGCCTACTCAGTTTGTCTGAGAGGTTGCTGCCAGCAGGGCCTCCTGGTCTGTCCCTTCATGCCCTGGACCACAGAGAGAAGAGTGTGGCCTTGGTCTCGCTGGCCCTGGTGCTGGAGATGGGGAGCAGGCCTCAGTATTGTCACAGACCCTAGCCCATTGGTAAAAAGGCAGAGCCGGTGGGAACTACAGCCCTCTGAGAGCTAGTAAAGGCCTGGCATGGGTGGCAGGGCAGGGACTTCACCTGGCACTCACCAAGTGCCTGGCAGGAGGGGATGTCTTCATCCACACCTGCTACAACTAGTCTCAGCCGCAGCACTCTGCTGGGAGGGAGGCGGCACGAATCCCAAGCAGCAGGACAGTCGCTGCCCCTTCCTGTACAAACTCAACCAGGCAGAGTGTCTGCAAAGATGGGGCTCCCCCACCCCTCCTGGAACGCTGGGCAGAGAGGCAGGTGTTCCACTCAGTTCCCCTGCTCTTCCATTCATTCGCCCACACAGAGGACTAAGGGGGGTGGGGTGGGGGACAGGGAAACAACATAAATTGGTCTGTCGTCCAGAATCCATGTCTCACTAATGTACCCAGATTAACTCAACTGTAAATTGTCTCCTTGGATGGCGGTGTCTTGCTAAAAGTTTCCCATATGATTCATGATTTGGATTGCTTTTAACGGCTATTGGCTAAGCAAGCCGGTGACTGTACAAGGTGATGCAATTGGCATTAGCGAGGGGAGGCACGGGAGCGTGTAATGCAGTCAATACTGCATTAACTACTGATGCCCAATTACAGGGAGCCTTTCAGGAGCATTAAGACCAAGGGAAGCTGAGATCACTAGCCGCTGCTTGCCTAAAAGCTTCACCCTTTGCGCGCCGGGCCTCAGCACGGGCTTGGCCACCTGCTTGGCCTCTGTGGCTGCAGGAGCCGCCTGTCCCCTTGCTCCCATCTCTCTGAATGTGCCCACAAACATGCTTGTAGCCCATGGGAATATGTTAGAGTCTGCCTCTCACCTTTTCTGAGAATTCATCCCTCCCAGCTGCCGCTGTCCCATAGAAATCAGACCTAGTGACAGTGCCGTCCTGCCTTCCTCAGTTTGAAGAGCCTCTCAGTATTTATGGACAGTGCTTGGAAGTGGTTTACTTTGGTCCCTCCCCCTTAGGACAGAAGGATGATTGCTGATGAGCATTGGTGGCAAGACCCTCTGTGGTCCTGGGAGAAAGACTCGAGATTCATCCTCATCTGGGCTGCCAGCTCAAGACAACCTGTGCTGGGAAATGGCCGTGGATGCATGGTCTGGGCTGTCTTTCAGCAGAAGACAGGACTGTGGTGATGTAACTGGGGAAAGGGGAGCTCATGAATGACTTGGGCCATGTTGAAAAAGTTCCAAGAAAATCAGATTCGGTGATTTGGGGCTTCCCCCCAGAACTGTGCCCCCCACATGGCAAACCTATCTCTATCTATGTAACAGGGAGGCCAAATTATTGCTTGGATCAATACGCCTGGCACAGGGCCTCCTAGTAAATTCTGATCAAGGCAGTAGACAGACTGAGAGTTAGGACAGATGGTAGAGAAAGGGGTATGGGTATCCTCCCCAGTGTGCCAGGTTATTAGACCTGCTGCAGTCTCTACCATTTGCTGAGCTCTGCCAGTGCAGTGTTGTGTTCTGTGTGCCACATTCTGCCCAGTGCTGAGGCTGCTGTACCTCCGAATCCTCCAACCTCTACAATGAGAACGGCTCCACCTACCTAGATTATTACCAGAATTAAATGAGGTACTGTCTGTCAGTG